AATGCACTTTTGCGTGATTACTTTTGTGCATGCTTTTGTACTTTTATTTATGTGCGTATATTTTGTAGCGAGTGTTTTTACACACGTTTCTTGATGCGCATTCGTGACCTTGAACTATAGCACGTATTTTCATGATCACTTTTGGAATCCAATTTTGACCATGTTCGAGTCCAAATTTAGAAATATGACATTAGAGAGGAATTGTAGCCCGCTAAAATAGCTTTCTAATGCCACCGGAACCAGTTGATTTTGAGTCCGGATGAGAATGTTATGCTCGACTTCGTGGACACTACCGAAGATGTTGAGGGATCCTCTCTTCTAATTTAATTTTATTTTCCTAATTGCAACTCTTTTCTTACTATTTGATCATTTTTTCTTCATGGACACGTAATTATCAATTTGTACCTATAAGATACTAAATCCACCAATTAAAACAAAAATATAAATTAATCCATAAAAAAATCCACGTAAACGTAAACGTTGAGTGTTGTTTCTACACTCCACTGTATCTTTTGTATTTAGTGTTTTTGCTATTGTTTGATTATGCGTATTAAAGTCCTAGTGTTGTATTTCGTGTTTTTAAGAACGTTGTTGCGAATGTACTTTTGCGCATATTTTCTTACATGTACGTTTGTGCATATCCATTTGAGCGAGTGTGTTTGTGCATGTTTGTTGATTTGTATTAATGTCCTAGGATTGTAGTTTGTGCTTTCGTGATCCTTTTTGCGAATGCACTTTTGCGTGAGTACTTTTGTTCATGCTTTTGTACTTTTACTTATGTGCGTATATTTTGTAGTGAGTGTTTTTACACAAGTTTCTTGATGCGCATTCGTGAACCTTGAACTATAGCACGTATTTTCATGATCGCTTTTGGAATCCAATTTTGACCATGTTCGAGTCCAAATTTGGAAATATGACATTAGACAGGAATTGTAGCCCGCTAAAATAGCTTTCAAATGCCACCGGAACCAGTTGATTAGGAGTCCGGATGAGAATGTTATGCTCGAGTCCGTGGACACTACCGAAGATGTTGAGGGATCCTCTCTTCTAATTTAATTTTATTTTCCTAATTGCAACTCTTTTCTTACTCTTTGATCATTTTTTTTTCATGGACAAGTAATTATCAATTTGTACCTATAAGATACTAAATCCACCAATTAAAACAAAAATATAAATTAATCCATAAAAAAATCCACGTAAACGTAAACGTTGAGTGTTGTTTCTACACTCCACTGTATCTTTTGTATTTAGTGTTTTTTCTATTGTTTGGTTATGCGTATTAAAGTCCTTGTGTTGTATTTCATAAAGAAAACCCCCGTTGTTGCGAATGTACTTTTGCGCATAAAAAAACAGGTACGTTTGTGCATGTCCATTTGAGCGAGTGTGTTTA